TCAGCTTCATTAAGACTCAAGGAGGTACCGTGTGTTTCACCCACTGTTTTAGCAAAGTTTCAGCGCACTCTGTACTAAAAACAGATTCACACAAATGCAAATCCAACAGTATTCAAGAAAAGCCTCGCACAAAACTGCGTACAGTGTGTACACCGAGCAGACCATGCAGAATAAGGACTCCATCCAAATTTCACATGTCATTAAAGACAACTTGGCCATTAATCCAAGTTTAGGAGCAAAGAAGGATTTTCCAGAACAGATAAACTGCAACAATCCCTTTGATCCCAGAGGTTAAGCTTTGCTCACAATGGGAGATGAACCACGCGGGGCAGAACGGTGCCCTTTCTGTCTGTAACAATGGCATCGCAAACACCACTTAATCAATATTTGGCCAGCGACACCGCAAATCACCTTTTCAGATTTTAATTCCTGGTTGTAAAACAACTGTAGGGCAACCAGCGAGATAAGACATTGCACCGACAGCTTAATTGCCTCTTACTGTCCCACTCGTTATATATGCACACTGTTAATCGCTCCGAACCTTTATTTACCAGTGAACAAATGAGCTGTCAGCAGCACATCAAACCCTGCTAACCAAACAATCTCGGCACATGACACACAGTGGCCCTAATGTGCCCACGGTGAGTTTTAATTTCATTACGTTTTGCTCATTTTCTAGGGGGAGTGACTGGAGGTGAATTAGCACAGCAGCATGGGGCAGGAGCACTGCAGGGAAGGGGAGCAGAGCAGGGTCTGTGCTGAGCTCAGATCCCATTTAGTAGCCAGAGCTCAGCAATCAGGTCCTGCATCCTTATTTATATGTTCTCCTCTGCCTGTAGCCACACGTGTGTGTCACATAGGATTTAAAGTGACATTTACATGGAGAAATCCGCACTGAGCACAGCGCTGTGATTTACTGCTTCACGTTTCACTCAATTTCTCCTTAAATTAACCAGAGAGCACTTTGTAGTTCTGCTCCATTTCCCAACGCAGTTTTACTACACAGCCCTGGGGACCCGCCATAATTTATCACTATCAACTTTATGGGCTCCTCTCGTTTCAACCCTTATCAATAAGTGAAACTAACGCAAAAGCCATCAGAACTGAACCCTCCCCTAGTCAAAGTCAGATAAAAGCATCAGCTTGACCTGACATAACAGAAGAGTACCACTTGGAATTAGACCCCCAAAAGAATCTCATAAGGATTTAATCAGCAGCAACTTTTAATTTCAGCATTAATCTCTAATTAATTTTGTATCTAATTAAAATCTCTGTCTGCTGATGCCATCACCACCGCTGCACAAGCAGCTGCTGACATCCCTGCTTCAGCAAGCCCTGCCGGTGCAACACACACAACCTGAGCCTGGCACAGTGGCTCTGAGCAGAACGGGGTGGATTTGGGCACCAGTCCTGCCCTGCCCATGGAAACGTGCACATGTGAATGGGCCCTTTCACTGGGGCTCCTCACACCTAGCAGGGTGCACACAGCCACCCCAAACCCCACCTCACAGCCTGAGCTCGGCTAGGATGCATTCCTGCTGATGGCCACAATTTGGCAATCACAGGAAAGTCACAAAGCCAGGGACAAAAACCACAGTTCGGGAGCGAGCCCTTCAGACTCTAACCCCAGTCCTTTCAGAATTACACTAAGTTTAACCAACTATTAGTTAAGAGTTTTGGAGCAATCCAATCAGATGCAAGCTTAAGTACAAACTCAGGTAAACGCATAGGAAGCGATCCCAATATTTGCTGCAGCAAGGTTTGCCCTCACTCTCGGTGCCTGAGCTCAGAGAACTGTGGCAGGATGTGCTCAGCAGTTCTGCTCCAACATTTTAGGAACTATTTCTGAGTCGGTCAAGTGCCCAAACACGGGTCAGATCCCCACATCGGGGCGACAGGTGCAGCTGGGCATCACTTCAGGGGCTGCAGCCGGGACAAGGAGCACCAGGGGCTGGGGGCAGCACCCCACAGGGCAGAGATAGAGGGCAGTCCCTCCCTCCATCAGCTGTCATAGCAGTGTAGCAGTATTACTAACCCCAAGGGGCAGCAGGCACTGAGCAGCCCTCCTCACAGCACGCGCCAGCCCTGTGCGCCCTCCGGAGCGCATGGCACCGCGTCACAGCCCGCAGATCAAGCTGCTGATTGTAACACTGCATCTAAATATTTAAGCTGGGGCCGGTGGTCGCGTGTCCCACGCACAGACAGCATCTGTCCTCTAATTCCATTACAGTGCACAGCAGAAATGCTTTTCCCCAAACTCACGAACAGGAACAGCATCGCTCAGCGAAGCAGAGCAACGGCTGAGCTGCTGAGCAGCGCTTTGTGCTGAGGCCCTTTCTAACCCCCCCCACCCCCCCAAGCTTCCCACATACACACAAAAATAGGGATGGTGCCGAAATTGTATTAATGTGAGCCTCGGGCACAGAGAAGAAAAAAAAAAAAAAAAAGAAAAGAAAAGAAAAGAAAAGGAGGAAGGGGAGGGCGAGGGGGGAGGGTTTGGTGCGAGATGAAAGTGGAAGGAAAGAAAGAAGTCAATTTAGCCTGCTGCAGCCTGAATCGCTCCCGGAGCAGAGCTGGGGATGAGTAGGGCCCTTTCTGCGGGCGCATGACTGGGGGAGGATCCGCGGGACGGGGCCCGGGGGCCAATTCCGGCCGCGAACAGAGCCCCTTTGAGGCCGGGCCCGGCGCGGCGCTCCCAGCAGCGGGCACATAGCGGCCGTGGGATGCGAGCTCCGGGCGCTCCCTCCCCGCAGCCCTCGTTCTAAAAATAGGCCCCCTGTGCCATATAAAGGCGCTGAGGTTTCTCCTTCATGTGCTGTCTTTACGGTTTGGGCAGTTAAGAAAAATGCATCGTGTCCACAGGAAAAACAGATAGGCTGTGAAAGAGCCACTATCGGGCAGATAGGTGCCGTGGCAGCCAGGTTGCGTTCTAAATCCATGCCCCAGACCAGGGCAGAGGACAGCATCAGCAGCAGAGCAGCGGTGCAGCATGTGTGGCATCTGCCAGGGGTACGAGAGAGCGGGGTTAAGTGCCTGTAAAGAGCATGTTATCTAAAAGGCTGTTTTTCTCTTCTGTCTGATTCCACTGCTACAAGAACGCCTCAAATCCTATACAGGGAATCAGCAGCCTTTAAAGTCAGCACAACTCTGCTTCATTTTCTTCCAGCCAAGCCAACACCTGCGTTGTCATGCCCCACAGCCCCTGTGCCACTCCAGCCACAGGCACAGCCCAGCTCACAGAGCACCCTAGCGCACTGCACTCTCCCCACCCTGCAGCACTGCACACTGCTGCTGAGGGCACACAGCTCCGAGTACCTTGCTGGATTGTCCCACACCATCCTGTGGATGCAGTGCTGTCACCCAGCTCTGCACACAGCCACCACCACCACAGAACCACAGCCATGGGGCTCTGCAGCCACCGCAATGAGAAGCGCCGGGCCAGGTGCTTGTGTGAGCAGAGTGGAGCCTTCACTCCTCTGTTGGCAATGGGAGTTGAAGCAGAACTTCTCTTTTCTCATGACTTTGCAAGGAGGGGCAAACCCATTTTGGGGCTGTTTTGCTCCCACAATGAGCTCTCTGCTGTGTTTTCCTGTAGCATCCCATAAGAGCAAGGCACAAGCACAGTAACAAGTTCTCTCTATCAACAGCACTCTCGCTGTAGCACACTGGCCACGCCGTAACAAAATGAAGCACCAGGATAATATGGGTAAGCAGGAGTGGTTGTGGAGGGAGCTGATCCTCCCTCCCATTGCCATTCTCTGTCAAACTGGTACCCAGCCCACAAGCACACACAGACATAGCACAGGGTGGTACGGCCCATTGCGTTCAAGAGAATCCTGCCACTAACTGAATGCAAAGGAATCAAAACTGGGCACACATGCCAGCAGGAGGCCAGGAAAGAGGTACACGACTGCAGAAGCAGCCCAGGCACAAGTCCCCTCCTTCCTTCAGCACAGCTCTCCATCAGAGGAGGCACCAGGAAAACAGCCACGTGCACATAGGGGCACAGAGAGGCACTCAGACACTTCTGGCCCTCACAGAGTTCCCGTCAGCACCTCCTGTGTGTGCATTACACACACACTCACAGACACAAGATGGGGTTTTAAGAACAGAGCCACAGAGTAACTTTGGGGAGCGCACTCAGGTTTGTTGCTACAATACAAGGGTTTAGCCTGCTTTAAATAAAGCGTTTTTTGCTGTCCTTCCTGATCGGTTCTCAGCACCTCCAGATGTCTGGAATTACCACAAACATTCTGGAGATACGAACAGCACTTTTTCCACGGTGGAGAGTCCATAAAACTGTGTGGAGCATCAGCTATTAGGGGCTCATTGAATAATTCATCCCTCATTGCAAGCCCATAATGTCTTTTCTCAGCCTTTTGTGGGGCTGTTTTCTCTTCTTTTCTCCTTGAATTATAAAAAGGTTGCCTTCCTTTGTTCACATCAAGCTGCTGCTAGCTGGAGCTTTGTCTACGCAAAGCCAAAGTGTGAGTTTCAATGGACTCTCCCCTCTTTGTTTTCCAAGTTCATCTCCAAGTGTAGATTGTGTATAGAAGGCCTTCTTTGTAAAAGCTGCAGAAGTTGTACAAATGTTTGACCAGCTCATTTGGTACTTTTGTCTCGCCTTCCCCAGCGCCGTGCCTGTGCCGGGCCGCCACTTCCAGCCCTAGCCCGGCCCGACCCGGCCGCCCCTCCGGCAGCCCCGACGAAGCCGGCCCGGCAGTGTCCCTCAGCCCCCGGCCCGGCCCGGCCCAGCACACGCCAACACAGCGCAAAGTTTCCGCAGCCTTTACTTTAGAGAAGCACCGCACTGTGTGACCGCGGCCGCCAGGCTGAAGGCGGTCCCCCCGATTGAGGCCCCGCGGCACAGAGGCTTCCCCCGGCGGCCCGACCGCCCCTCGCGCGTTTCCCGGCTCGGACCGGGTCCGGTCCCGGCCCGGCCTCCCCGCCGAGCCCCCCCCCCCCCATCTCCCGCCGCAGTTCCCGGGTGCGGGCATTACCTCTCTCGCTGAGGATGCCGTCGATGCTGTGCTTCGCCTTCTTGTCTCCTTCCTCCGCCTCCTTCCTCTCCAGCTCGGCCTCCTCCTCCTCGCCTTTCCCAAACTTGCTCCGCAGAATGCGGCTGATGGAGCTCACTTCGGGGGGAGTGCGGATCTGTGACCGCCGCTCCTCCGGGCCGAGCCCTGCTTCCGGCCGCTGCCGTCGGAGGCCTCGCTGTCCTCCCGCGGGGTTGGCACCGCCCCGAGCAATTCCCCCCCCGAGGTGACGGGAGCCCCCCGACACCGCCCGGACTCGGTCCCGCCGCCCCCTCCCGCCGGTACCCTCCGCTCGTAGCGTAATTGAACCCTCCGCGAAGCGACCCCGGCTCCCGGCGCGGCCGCCACCGGCCTCGTTCCCCCGGCACGGAGCATCCCGCAGTGCCCCTACCTGAGGGCACGGTGTTGCGGTCGCAGACGCCGTCCTTGAGCAGCCTGTCGCGGATCTCCCAGCTGAACATCCCCGCGTTCTCCCGTTTGTACTCCTCGATTTTTTTCTCCACGTCCGGCGTCGTCACCTGCTTCAGAGCACACGGGGCGAGCGGGAGCTGTGCGGCGGCGGAGCCCGGACTGCCCCGGCCCCGCACGGACCTCCCGGAGAGGCCGCACGGCCCCGCGGGCAGGGACTGCCCGAGGCTATGGAGGCGGCGGCGTTACCCCGCGCAGACAGAACGGCCCGAACCCGCAGGGAGGGGATGGAGCTCCGCGGGGACAGCGCCGAATTGTGCGGGGACAGCGCGGGGTGCGAGCAGAGCTGTGCGTAGGGAGAGACTGAGCGGAACGAAGTCCGCAGCACTGAACGGAGAGTAGAGCTGTGGCGTTGTGAGGGGACCGGGAAGGACCCGGGGGGGTTTCTTCGGTGCTCTAAAGTGGAGCCGAACTGAAATAAATGCAGGTTGAGGGCCTGTGCTCCGTCACGCGCCTGTAGAAAAATCTGTCGTTTTAACACGAGAACCGAAAGTTCGGGAGCCGCCACTTTGGGAACAACAAAGGAAAAAATCCGGCCAGCGGCTTTGAACGAAAACTCAAAAAGTTCACTTCTCTTTGTGAGGAAAACAAAAGATATAAGGAAGGGAGAGGCAAAACTCGAGAGGAGGATCTATATCGCTCTGCACTGTTGTGACCGCGAACTTTTTAGCGCTTTGCAAAAAGCACGGAAGGAGCCGAGCAGCTGAAAGGGCGGCGGGCGGAGCAGGGCCGAGCGGGCAGCACAGCTCCCAGAGCTGCCCTTTCTCCCTCACTTCGTTTCGGATAATTTCTTTTTTTTTTTTTTAAACGCGATTTTCTTTTCACACAAATAATAAATCTTTCCCACAATCGTTTCAAGACGCGGACCCGCCAGGAGCAGCGCGCAGGACCGTGCCCGTGCTCGGCCCCTCGCCCCCTCTCGCGCCCGCCGGGCTCACCTTGGGTTTGCTGCCGCCGATGGCCCCCGGGCGGATGGAGCCCGTCTCCTGGTAGCGGCAGAGGATCTTGGAGACGCAGCCGTGGGACACGCGCAGCTGCCGGGAGATGACACAGGGCCGGATGCCGTGGTGCGCCATCTCCACGATCTTGTGGCGGATATGGTTGGGCAGCGGCCGTCCGTTGATGAACACTCCTCCGAGCTGATTGACTCTGCCCTGGCCGAGAGGTGTAGAGACTGGACAAGAGGAGGAAAAACAGCGTTAACGTCTCCTTCGGACCCCGCGGAGTGCCGGCACCTGTTGCGCCCAACCGGGGAGTGCCGCCGGGCAGGGACCCGGGTCCGAAGTTCCCGCGGCCCCTTCCGACCTCCGCACGCGCTCCGTCCCCCAACTTTTCCCCGCTTTCTGACCGCCGCCCCTCCTCCCGCCCTCACCTTCCAACGGGAAGCCGCCGCGCGGGTAGCTCTGCCCGGCTCCGGGCCGCATCATCCTGGGCACGGCCCCGGCCAGCGTGGTCATCGCGGCGGCGTGGCGCGCTCCTGCCCAGGTGCAGCTGCGGGAGAGAGCGCCGTCAGAGCCGCCACGCGGGGAGGGGACGCCGCCGGGGGCGGGGAAGGGCCGCTCCCCGCTGCCCCTTCGTCGGTGACCCGCGCTGCCCCGCGCCGGGAGGGCCGGACCGGACCCCGCGGATCCAGGAGCGGGGCGGGCGGGGCCGGGCGGGCGGCGGCGGCGTTGTCCCGGGAGTGGGGGCCGCGGGGCCGCCTCCATTTATCGGCTCCGGACCCGGCGCGGCTCCGCTGCGGCGCCGCCGCGATTGGCCGCCGCCGCCCGGCCCGGCCGCGCCGCCCCCGCTGATTGGGCGGGGAACGGGGACTCTCCCGCACCGCCACTGCCCGGGGCGGCCCGGCCCGGCCGAGAGCCGCCGGCCCCGGGGGGCTCCGCGCCCCGACGGCTCCGGGAGAGCGGCCGAGGGGCCCGCGCGTCGCTCCTCGTCCTCGGGATCCCGCTCCCGACCCGGGGCTCGCAGCGCGCTTTGTCCGCGTAGAAGACGCGGGGGAGCGACCGCCCTTCTCTTCTCCGACACCGCTACAACCTCCTCCCTCCCTTCTGTTTCTGTAGTTCGCGCCGCCCGGGAGCAGCACCTCCGGCCCCAGTGTCGCGGACGGGCTGGAAGCACCGCCGCGGACCTCCGCTTTCACGGACCGACGGACGGACGGGGCGGCCCCGCGCACCCCCGCGGCTGTGCCGTACGCGAGGCGCCCGCTCGGCCCCACCAACCGACGGGCGGTTGTTCCCAGGAATTTATTGTAGCATTCAGCCCGAAGTGCCGCAAAAAGAAAGGAGGTGACGTCCGCCCGGAGCCGGGCTGACCGCAGCAGGACATGACGCCAGGAGTGTTGTAAAGGCCGTCTGTCCTCAGAGAGGTACCATTGTGCGCGGCCCTTTATTTACAGCTCGGGAAGTGCCAGCGAACTCGGCTCTGCGCTGTGAAGTGCCAGCCCGGCTTCCACTGCGCTCTTTATTTGCAATCCTCTATTCAGCGACTGTCACTCCCGAGCCTCGAGTTATTCAGGCCCTTAATCAATCAAAGGGATGAGAGTCGCTCAGGTTCCCCCCTTTGAAATAAAGGAAACAATGTTTTGTGCCGGGCCCGCGGCCGCTTCCCCGCGCGGTTCGGGCGCTCCTTTCGGGGCCGTGGGGCCCAGCGGCGGTGCGGCGCTGCCCGGCCCGGCCCTGCGGGGAGCGGATCGGAGAGGGACGCGGCCCCGTGCAACCCGGGACTCAGCCGCCCCGGCCGCTGCTCGGAGCGGAGTCGGTCTCTTTTCCCGAGCATCAGAGCCGAGCAGGGAGGGGAGAAAAGTTTTACCGTGGCCTCGAAACTGGCTCGTAAGAAAACCTCGTGTAGCGGGGAAAATCGGAGCCTATTTCTCCCCGTGCTACCCTTTACTGAGCACAGTGGCAGTCTGAGCATCGAGCTCTGCTCCTGCGGGACCCGGGCACGGCCTGCGGTCGGAGCTAGGAAGCGTTCCGCAGTGCTATCGAGGCACCGAGTTCCAAAGTTCCCGTGTGGGGCTCGGCGGGGATGTGGGAGTATTTTTTTTAAATAAATGCATCAATAAATTAAAAAAGTATTTCAGCTTCACTTTGAGCTCGCGGAACGCAACAGCTCGGGCCCCGCAGCGATTCTCTCGCCGCAGCCGCGGAGCGCTCCCGCCGCACTCGGTGCATCCCGCGGCCGCTTTCCCCGACGGACCCCCGGCCCCGTTCCGCCGCACCCCGCCCCGCGCACCCACCTCGCCGGGGCCGCCGCCCTCGCTACCAACCGGCGGAGGGACACGGCCGCATCCTCCGCACGAAACTGCTGAAATCCGAGGGAAAAGATGAGCCCCGAGTGCCGGCCCCGGCCCCGGCCCCGCTCCTCCCTCCCCCCTCGCCCCCTCGCCCCCACCCCCATGTGACCGTCCTTGGACCAGCGGAGATGATTTCACGGTGTTCCCGTGGAAATGGCTAAAAACGCTCCCGCTAATTACAGAGCTCTTCCAGGCCAGGTGCACTTTTAATTGGATTAGCGAGCGCTCGGTATGAAACCTGCGGCACATCGAATGGGCGGCGAAACTCGGCGCTGTTTGGGACAACGGCAGTTCGTTCTAAACGAGAGCACTGGAAACAAATCAGTTACACTCTTTTCCGCCTTTATGCGCATACGTTTATTTCTAATAAGGGCTTCGGAGGGAATTCTACATAGACCTATTCCCAGGGAAGGTGATGCTGGAGAAAGGCGCTGGGGTTTGTGAGTAGGGATGTAAGTGGAGGAGAGGAGAGGAGAGGAGAGGAGAGGAGAGGAGAGGAG